GGACGTGCTCCGGATACCACCTCCCTTTTTGATTTTCTGCTTCCTCTTTGTGGATTTTATTTTTATTTTTTGTCCACCCCGTGTGTCATTTGCATACCACAGGCTTCCTGCTGCTACAAGTAGGCAGTTTGCATTTCATTGTACATGTGCCCTGAACGAATTAATATTCCTTGTTTCTCATGACGATACGTAAGCTGTCTGTATTCTCGTGGAATGTGCGTGGCCTGGGCGACAGGACCAAGAGACAGGCTAGGCTGTTCTCTCGTTGGTCCTGGCGCGCAGGCCATCCATAATTTGCCTCCAGGAGACTCACATTACCGGGGACACAGTGGGTCTTCTGAGACGTAAACACTATCCAGAGATGTTTCATTCATGCTATTCTTATGCGAGAGGAGTGTCGATCTTGTTGCATGACAGTGTTGCATTTGCTTGCCTACAATCCTGCATAGACCCTCATGGACGTTACATTTTTTTGCACTGTGCATTGTTTGGGCTGGAATGCGTTATTGCTAATGTATATGTACCTCCTCCATATTCTGGGGCTGTGTTAGGGGAACTGGTGCTCTTTCTCAAAAACAAACTCCCGATACCTGTCTTGGTGGTGGGGGACTTTAACAACATTATGTCCCTTTCCCGAAACAGGTTACCATCTGCGGCAACTCCCCAGACCCCTAGATATACAGCCTTTCATAATTTCTGCTCTGAAATAGGGCTGATGGACGTATGGCGCAGCCTTAATCCAGACACCACTCAATACATCTGTTTCTCGGCCACTCACAGATCCCTCTCCCGCATAGACTACACCTTATGCTCAGCAAAATATTTTCCCCTGATTATAGGAGTAGACATTCTACCTAGGTCGCTGTCGGATCATGCCCCCATTCTTACCACCTTTCGTGCAGGTAGACAGCCCCCATTCCTACCATGGAAGCTGAATCCATTTTGGTAAACGCTGATTCCTGCTAGTGCATCGATGGAGGAGGAGTTGTCTGGATTCTCCGCATGAATGGTGCCCTCTCCTCTCCATTCAGATTGCAGCGAGGCACTAGACAGGTGTGTCCTCTCTCCCCCCTCCTCTTTGCCCTGGCCATGGAACCTCTGGCTGCCATGATACGATCCTCCTCTGAGATTAGGGGTTTTGCCAGGGCACTGAGGAGGATAAAATAGCCCTATATGCAGACGATACGCTTCTCTTCCTGGCAGACACCCATGCATCTCTCACTACGGTTATGTCAAGACTCTCAGAGTTTGGACGGCTCTCGGGTCTCTATGTCAACTGGTCCAAGTCCTCCCTGCTCCTTTTGGATCCCCTGCAGGCCCCACTGCCCCCTACGGCATCGCACATACCTATTGTGTCTCACTTCACATACTTGGGTGTCCATATGTCCGCAAATCCCTACGCTTTTGTACAGGACAATTTGCTCCCATTATTATCTACACTAACTGTGCAATGTAAAGTATGGAAGAAACTCCCCTTGTCGGTGGTGGGTAGGATTAATTTGATCAAGATGATCTGGATGCCCCAAATACTTTATTTTCTACATAATTCCCCATGCTGGATCCCGCAAAATTTCTTCCGGAGGATCAACTCCCTATTTAGGGATCTCATCTGGAATGGCAAACCCCCTCGTATTAAGTTAGAATTCCTTCAATACCCCAGGGAGCAGGGGGGACTGGCACTTCCCAACCCATGGGCATATTTTCTGGCAGCACAACTGCAGCATCTGGCGGGCTGGTCTCTCCCTGAGGACCTCCCTGCCACTGCTAGGCTATTTACACGCATGTTCCGATCTAAAGCCCCAATGTCGCTCCTAGACACCGCATTGCTGTCCAGATCTGATTTTCCTACTCCTAGACTACTGGCGAGGGTATGGGTGTCTGTCAGCACCCTGTGGGGGCTCTCTGAGGTTACCACTGTTACCCCTTTGTGGGATAACAGTAAATTGCCTGAGGTACAAAAATTAAGGGACTCTGTTACCTGTGAAAGGGAGGGAATACATCTTATCTCTATGAGATTTATGAAAACAGTGTACTGTGTACGTTCCAGCAACTCCAAGCCAAGTTCAACCTAAAGAGGAACCAATTCTACCAATGCCTTCAGTTGAGACATGCCCTTTCGGTACACCCCAGGGTTGGCCCGATACACATATCCAAGGTGCCACTTCTTGAACAGATCGCATCATCCACACATACAGTACCAAGGGAGTTGTCTCACTATTATACTCCCACATACTCTCCCATTTTTCAAGTAAATCTCCCATTTTTGAAGTAAATATCCACTTAGGTGCAGGTCGGCGTGGGAGGGGGACCTGGGTGCCCTTACGGAGGAGGAATGGGATGCTGCCCTAGCCGCGGTGGGGGCCTCTTCCTTGTCCGCCTCTCATAGGCTGTCTCAGCTCTTCATCTTACATCGAACATACCGCACCCCGGAGTTCCTCCTTAAAATTGGATTCCGTTCAGACTCCAAATGTCCTAAATGTGGTATTGAGCCAGGGTCCCTTATACATTTACTATGGCGCTGCCCCAAACTAGTGAGATATTGGACTGAGGTGGTGCGATGTCTCAATTCTATTTTTACGCTCCAACTCCCCTGCTCTCCGCTGGTCTGCATCCTCGGTGTGTTTGACGCCTCCGATTAGGACCATTACACCGAGGAGGCTGTTTCTAGGGCTCTATTTGCAGCCAGGAGGACCATTGCCCTCCTTTGGATGTCGCGCCAAAGGTAGAGACCTGGGAGGCGGAGTTGGACCGTATTATAGCCCTGGAAAAAATAGCATATGAGCATAGGGGAACTCTGCATAAGTTCTATAATATCTGGGACAGGTGGAGGGCTAGGCCCGCTCAGACTATTGGAGATCACTAGGTTCATTGGAGGGCGTGAGGAGAGGACTGGATGGCTCAGTAGGTAGATGAATGGTAGAGGTCTATGCTGCGCACTGTATTGGTGGTATGGAATATGACCACAGGGCCATGGTACAGGGTGAGAACGCAGGATGCGAGTCTTGTATATCCCACATCGCTGACAAGATCAGGGCACAACTGGATGTCAGTGGCATATGCATCTGTAATTTTTCTTCTGAACGTACTAGTACACAGGGAGATGTTCTCCGGGCTTAGTCCCCCTAACTGCTTCTTATAATTACATCTGCAGGATACATGGTGGATCACATGGCTATGTTTTGTTTTGTATTGTTAGTTAGTTGTTTTGTTTTCTATTGACACGACTATGTATGACATGGATATATGTATGAGATGTCAATTATGTTTTACAAAAAATGTGTTTCAAAACTTTAAAATGTTAATAAAAAATATCTGATTTAAAAAAAAAAAAAGAAATGTTTCAATACCCCTCAGTGGGAGAACTTCCGTCGGGGTATGATATAGGGCAAAAGTACAATTTCAAGAAGAGAACAGCCAAATTCAGGCTAAAGGGTGAGTAGCAGCAATGCAATCAATATTGTTGATTATTGAAAAAACCTTTCTGTTGATTCTCACTGTCTAATGTTAACACTAATTACAGACGGAGACAAGAGATTGATCAAAACAGAGGATGATGCAAAGAGAGTCTCTTCTTGGAATTTCATTCACCACCAATGGGCGGACATTGTGGGATCAACAGAACACGGACGCCGATATCCTCCAGGGGTTCTTCTGGCATGGAATGAGCAAAGATGTTGAGAACTGGGTAACCTCTAGTTCCTTTTTAGACTTTTGATATGTTTATGACTGTTGTTCACTTGTTAACAAATGATTTAATCTAGGTCCTGGAATGTGATAAATGTCAGAAGTTTGGAAAGCCATTGGCAGCTCCCCAGCCATTACAGTGTATTGAGGTAAATGTCTACTATACTATTACCTAACAGATTTTCTTACATTTCTTTATGGAAATGTACTATATCTCTTTCATCTCCATAGATCTCTGCTGTCTGGGAGCTTGTTGGGATTGACCTAACAGGCCCTTTACCCAAGACAGCGAGTGGCTTTCAATACATTTTGACCGCCGCTGATTATTTTTAGAAGTGGGTGGAGGCTTATCCATTGCGGACCAAGTCGGCTGCCGAGGTTGGACGTCGTTTATGCTCCATGATATATCGACATGGATGCCCCAAACGCATACTCTCAGACCAGGGAAGAGAATTCGTCAATCAAGTAAGTGTACTCTCCATTAACCTTCGATGTTACATTTTTCTTTCATCTTTTTTTTGTTGTTCATTATCGGTTTCTCTTCCAGTATGTATATGTATTTATTCTCTGTATATTTATAAATGTCTTTTAATTTTTCAGGTTAACAACCGCATGTGCAGGGAACTGGAAATATAAAGGGGATAGTGAGTTCGGCATATCACCCGCAGACCAACTGACTTGATGAGAAGACTAACCGCAACATCAAACGGATGCCCATCCATCTTTTCAATAGCTACCGACCTTTCACCGAATGTGTCTTTTTGTGATTCGTCCTGAACATGTCGGCAACTACTCCAAACTCTACACTCACTTCTATAAAAAGTCTTAAAATCAAGCAGAGAAAATATATGATAATAGTGTCCCTAGTCCAGATGCCAAGTCCATCGTGTCATACCTGCACCCGGATTCTATATAGGCTAAACAACCCAAAAAAAAGGAGGCTCCATGTGATATTTGTTGTCTTACAGCAGGGACACCCACAATTTTTCCTCTGGAGATCCACTTTTCAAAAAACAAGCTCACTGAGATCTACCAACCAAAAAACACCTGCGGTCAATGGCAGCCTCACCGACAGTGTGATCGCGCGCACCCGGAACACAGGCACATTAGTGTGCACAAATGCTGAAATGACTATTTTTGCAGATCGCACTGGACAAGAATGCAGGAAATAAATGTGCCTGTGTTCCGGGGGCGGGCGTTTCGCACTGTAGGCGGGGGACATGGCTGCGGTGCCATTGGCTTCAATACAACTGCACACCCCCTCCCTCGCCGGCTTTGCATTCCAGTCACCGGCCTTGCATTGCAGTGCGTCCTAGATGCCCCGGTGCTTGTATGGCGGACGTTGCGTATGGGGAGAGGTGTCCCGCCCCTTTCCATCTGCGGCGCCTAACACATTCAGCTGGCAGCTACACGAGCACCGCGGGAGCATAGCCGTAGCCAACTTCTTTTTGCGGCCGAGGCCAAAAAAGATGCTCCACCCGACAGGCGTGTGCCTCCAGGATTTTATTTTTATTTTTTACGATTTTTATATTTTATGTTTATTATTTCGTATGTAATTTTAATTTTTTTACATTTTTTATTTTACTCTTGGGGGAGGGGGTTGACGGAGCCACTGTCACACAAGTAAAGTAAAGCAGTGACGGTAGAGTGAGGCGTCAGATCCTGGCCGAGCATCTATCTCTCCTCACCACACGGCCTTAGTTCTGTGACAGCGGCTCTCTCCTCCGCCCCCCCCCCAAAAGAACACACCTCTCCTTACTTTGCCAAACAGTATGCTGCTTTGAAATCCTAGAATTCATGTTTTCCTTGAATAAACTGTAATTATTGATATAATGCTGAAGCCCACTTACACCTCTCTATGACCACCATCCAGCCAAGTCATCAACCTGGACCCTGTGCTAGTAAAGAGCCGTGTTCCTAGAATGGCTCATCCACGATACTGTTCTTCAATGTTTAGATAAGAAACCTATTCTGCCCATTTACACCCTCATGTTTGTTCATCGCACGTTCATGTAACCAGTTTGTCGCATAATTACCGCCTATCTGGTTTGTGGGTTTGTGTGGTGGTAGTGTGCGATGTTGGACCATTCATTTTCATACAGAACTTTAATGTATGGCGCTCATAAAGATCTACAGTGTTCAATTCAGCTTTCCTAGCTGAACCACCATCAGGATAAGTGATATGTGCCCCAAATGTACAGAAGGTTTATTGTTATAGTACTGTGCCCACTCTTGCACAGGGTTATGCTATCATCCTACTGCTACTGTTGTAAGGTCATGTCTATTCCACTCCTAGAGTCATCCGTTTCCCTAGTCGAGTGAGAAGTGTAGCTCTCTAGCTCTTACTGGATGTAATGAACTGTGGGATTTCAAATTTGATGCGTCTCCCATTACAAATTTTCATTAACTACCCCCATACACCATTGTGAGTCTGCTGCTGCCTCCCTTTTTCTGTGTGTTATGATGCTCATCTGGATGACTTATGTTTCTCCAGCCTCTATCCCCCTCTGACCTTGCTGCTGCTAGCGCTGCAAATAGAATGGACGGTGGAGTGTGGTGAGTACAACTGGCTGTGCCATTACGTAGAGGCCAAGCCAGCTGCAAATTAGGCAGCAGCATGTATACTGACAATATTGTCAAAATCTTTTGGCACGCAGAGCGGATCAGCGCTGTCAGACACATAGTGAGTCATAGCCTATTCATGTAGATTTGTTGCGCACAGTACAACATAATATTTGCCCTACTGAGAACAGAAAGACAACTATGGACCCAAAAAATAGTCAATAATTTTTTTTCTAATTGTTACTATTGCTATTCAGCGGCGTTTTTAAAAATTTCGATTATAGCTGTAAATACAACATTACATATGAAATTTGGGGAATTGTGTTTGCTAATGTTTCTAGAGCTCTTTCAAAATTGGTGAATGAGAAGCAAGATAATTGGAGCCTGTATTTGGAACTGTGACGGACTGAACCGTCACTGGGGCTGCTGCAGGAGCCTGATGGCTAGCCTCCTTCCTAGAGACTATGGGCCTAGGACTATAGAGACCTCCCTTGTGGGTTGAACTGGGTGTCCGGGGGCACATGGACGGCTGTTGCGGGGGAGCCTGGCCCTACAGACGTCCAAGTTCACAATTCAATACCGGCTCTGGAAACCCAATGTTAATGACAATGGTGTACATATCAGCCCTCCCATTCAAGCTATCAGACCAATCCCTGTTTCAAGTCCTCATTTGCATGGCCAAGAGGACCTAAGTGAGGACTAGAGGATACTTTGCAGTTGACCAATAGGAAGGTGGTTGGTTGGGCCACCTTCAAACTGTTTATAAAAGTGTGTATGTGCATCCAATAAAGGAGATTCCTGTTTGAACTTACATGCAGCCTGCCTGGTGTTTGTTGTGAGCTATCACCACTGGATACGAACGGCACAGAGCTGTAGTTCCAATCCCGAATTATTGGACGACCGTAATATAAGACGCTGCGGTCTGAAATCTGAGGAGTGCCGGGAGAGTGGAACCGAGCGAGCAAGGGGCTCGTTGCAGGAACCGACATTATTTTCCATCAATTCGAAGGTCCAAATGTACTCCTTTTCTGCTGATGCACGGTAGGGAGGCAGTTTTTCCATCCCAGATTCCAGTGGAGCTCCCGGTATGGTTGAATTTTTTTATTTAATGGCTGCAGTTACATTTCTTGGTTTTCTTTCATGTAAACTTATCTCACTTGGATTTGAAGACTTAATTTATCCAACCTAAGTGCCACTAAAGATTTGTCAGTTAATTTCTGTATTTGATCTTCAACGGTGACGTTGCCTGTCATCAACATATGGTAATATTGCCTTCAAATGGTACTCAACGGCAGATTTGTCTTTAATATTTAACATTGAAATGTTGAACACTTTTCAAATCTAGGATTCAGTCACTGCGTTATGATTTGAGTAGTACATTTTAATTTAAGTGGATTAAATGTATTTTATTGTCTAACCCTTTCATGTAATTAATTTTGTTAAAGCTTTCAGTGATCATCCTACCGGAGAAGAGCTACGAAGCATTTGTATAAGAAAAGAGGAAAGCAATGGACAAGGTGAAGATGAGAACCCTTGAAAAATAAAGAAATCCCAGGAGAAGCAGAAGAGCAATTACATGAAAAAAGCCCTGAAGAAGTACAAGGCTTTAACTTATGCTGTTGGCAACGAGGACCTGCTCTACAACATGAAGAAGCGTGGTAGGAAAGGAGGAAGGATGGAAGCGGACATCTTTGGGCCTTATGTCATCGAGGCGATTTCTGGAAAGGTGGTTCAGCTGGGCAATGGAGACGGGATAACGCTGAAGAGAAAGGTGAATGTGGATCACATAAAGCCATATCGAAGGAGTGCAGAAAGCTCAGCCAAAACTCAGGAAGAAGATGTCCAGCCAACGACCTCGCCAGTGAAGATCCAAAACAGCATATCCTCTGTACCTCAAAGGCCCTCTGCCATCCAGTTTGCCCCACTACAAAAGGTAAGCGATATAGTGGTGCAAGCTTTGACAATACATCAATCTGTTGCATACATCTGCATTGCCAATATTGAGCCTTTTACTTTTTGATCCTCACTTTCTTCATTCAAGTAAGTTATTTTTAAACTTATAACAAATGAATAACATTAATCTTGATTTTTAAGCCTTCATCATCACTCATGGCAGACATGACAGAAGACAGAGGTAGAAGTTAAAGGGTTTAAATTTAATTTAATTTTTTTGACCCGGTTGGTCATTTTTTAGGTCTTGCCCTGTTGGTGTGGCCTTTTAAGTCTGTGTTACCAGTTAAGGCTAATTTTAGATAGTTGCCGCTGTTTGGCATCAAGTTGTATAGAGCAGTGCTCCCCAACCTTTTTATCGCCGCGGACCGGTCAACGTTTGATAATTTTACCGTGGCCCGCTGAGGGGGGGGGGGGTAACTGGGCGAGATTACGTTAAAATGTGTGACCACGTCACTGGTCACACATTCTAACGTAGTCTCAAACTTTGATAGATCACATGCCTACCTGTAAATCAGAGAAATAGATTATAATAGGGAACATTACAGTGTAATATTCCTCATTATAATCCACTTGTCTAATTACAAGAAAAAGCATGAAATAGCTGTACACAACTACTATCCCCCACTGGATCGGTGGCAGCAGTTGCGGGACCATACCGGCTTTATGTATCGTCAATCCATAAACTTCGTGGCAACGAGTGGCTGGTTGATGAGGTAGGACAGTACACTGCGTAACATTTTTGTAAACAAAACCTGCACCCTTTCAAAGTTTTATAAATGTTTTTATTCATTTTTATTATGCGGCTGATTGATGCCTATCTTCACCACGTCATTGGAAAGCATCAGGCAAGTATCAATTACATTATGCTTGTGTTATATGCATGCCATTGTGGATTCTAACTTTTAATAGTTTTATACAGGAACCTGTTCACCAGATGTGTGCGGTCGTCTCGACAGCATTGATCAATGGACAACATCACAGGCTAGGCAAGGTTGGTCACACAGCTATCCATCTCAAACATTAATTAGGTGGTTCATTTATGTTTGTTTTTCATTATTAACTTTTATTTTTATGTATTCTTCAGATGAGGTTTCCCAAAGAAGATCTATGGCTACGTCCTGTCAACGTTGGAGCGCACCGGATTTTAGTGGTATGTTTATTGCCCGAAATTTCATTTAGCTTTTTGAAGTTCGATTTAAAACTATGCGAGTTTATTTATTTGATTTATGTGTAAAATTATTACATAGAAGCCTCATAAGACCGAAAGTGGATGTGCTCCATAAGATATAATTGATAATTTCATCTTGAAAGATGTGTGAAGGAACACCTTCGCGATCGATCGTCATGATGACCACGCAGATCCTTGTGGTGATAGACCCATTGGGGAATGAAATGTCCTATCATAAAATGTTGCATGACAACTGGAGGTAAGTGTGCGTAAGGAGTAAACATGTCCTATACAAACATGCGCCATATTTTTCAAAGAAAACTTTTTTTTTTTGTCTTGTTGCCATTAACAGGATCTTCTTGAAGACGAATTCAATAGAAGACCAAGGAAGCGAATGGAAAAACTGTTTAATGGCACACAACAAACAGCAGGATTCCAGCAGCTGTGGGGTGCTAATCTTGATGGTACTCTTAAGCTTTTTTTAGGACTATTCTTTGACTGACTCATGATAAATGTGATTTGATGTTCCAAATGTTAAATTTTATATTACAGATTGCAAAGGAGTTCCTTCGGACGAGGACCATCAGTGAAGTAAAGACATCTGCAAAAGCTGTGAATGCACGTCTGGAAAAAGCAGAAGCCCTAATAGAGTATCAAGGTCAGTGATATCATGGTGGATGAAAGCTGTTACCAACATTTTTTTTTACCAGTTTTTTATTCAGATTTTTCACAATACAGACTATGGAAACGTTAGTTAAAAGACCACTATATGATAAAAAATAGAATATAACTAGAGCGGGCATAAAGTAGAAACATGGCCAAAGCCCTACAATTGCGGAGGAGTATCATATAACGACATATTGGACCAATGAGCTTCATGGGCTCAAACAATACAATAAAATACAGTCACATAGTGCACAATATAGATAAATAGGGTCTTTTGTATTAATGGTATGCATGACCGCGATAAAATCTGGGTCAGTAGGCGTTACATAGCCTTTGGGTAATAAGGGGAAGGGTGTAACTATCTAAAGGGGAGGGGGATAATCTAATAAACAATAAAGGAGAACAACTCTTGGTATTGCTATATGAAATTATACCGATATCAATGACTTATCTTAGAGGCGCTTCCTTGAACCTGTGTAAAGATTTGGGTGTTAATAGAACATTGTATATATATATA